TCTAGAATACGAGTATAGTAGAGCGTGGTCTCGATTCTCAGACCTCTGAGTTATAAGGCCTAGCACACTTCCACTACCTTCTGCTACCACTTTACGATGTTGAAAACGTGTATCGCAATTTCATTTAGAATAAAAATGCCACCTGTGATTAGTCCAAGGCAAAAAGTATTACGTGTCCGTTCGGTCTAGATGTTTAGCGTGACAACATAATTACTTACACAATCAGATTTATTATAGATATTAGAAGCATAATATGATAGCATGGAAATAGAACAGAGAATTGTTTAATAGTTTTTAAAATTCGAAGCTATAAAACCAATTTCGTGGTACCTACAACACAATTTTAACAATATATAACTCAAACACGCAGTTATTAACTGTTATAGGTAGGTATACCAAGAAAAGTGCACTTTTTACAAGCTTAAAATGCTCAGTCCCCAATTCTGATAAAAATGTAGGCTCACAGATCTTTGCGGTTATAAATTAAGCAACAATAGCAAGATTAGCTTTATATTGAACAATGCAGGATCCTCGACATTCCACGAGATAAAAAAATGGAAACTGACACGACCCTGAACCGACATAATGAGATACTCCGAATGCACGGTAATACCTACTGCCTATTTTCTCGGAATTGTAAGATTCATTCGATTATGTAGTCATAATGTATCCAAAAGAACATAGGCACAAAAAATAACAGATTCGTGACAGTGTAGCTGGCGCCTATAATTAAGCCCACCCTGTTGTCCTTAAGAGATTAGTTTATTTCTTTTGAGGGAACTTTGTCACGGAGATCAAAGACAGAAGCGGAACATTTTTTGTCCTAGAACTGAAAAGGCACTGACTCAGCAAGCTAAGATCCATATCGACTGTGAACTGGCAACCGAGGTGAGGTAGTACCCTCAATTTTGACAACTTTACTGGAAGAAAAAAATTGTTTTAGTCATTTATATAGCATCTGGTTTATTAAATAGAAAGACGTACATACATGTGTAATAAAAATATTTAAAAACTACGTATTACCTGTAAAGTTGTCAAAATTGAGACAGTACCCACTGCCAGTTCAGTCGATATGTTGGTCGCTGCAGTAGCAATACGTCTAGTAGAATCAGAAACTAGAAACATTCATTTTATGAATTCATAAAACACAATATGTGCAATATGCAATTTCATTCTTACCAGGCGCACATAATGAAATTAATAGTTTAGTTATTAAATATGTTATAAAATGATTATTATATTTCATGTCTTATATACACAGTCAATAAAACTTTTCTTTTAAATAAACCCGGAGTTTGTCACCAATTCAATCGAAAGCGTTTCTAAAACTACCAAACTATAGTTTTTTTAAATTTTCTATGGATTTATTTTAAAATTAAATGATTAGACGAAAATTTAAATACGAGATTGTTAAATTAACATGAGTAAATAAATCCAAATCTGCTTACGTGTTGTGCCACTAACAATGGCGCATTTGATGTTCTGCCCTTTGTGCCCTTTGTGCCCTGAGTGCCCGACACCTGCTTGTGGGACTCCTTTTTGATGCCACAGACTAACTCATAAAACGGTAGGCCAATACAGGGCTGAAACGATTTCAAACTTTGTCCAAAATAAACCCTCTTCTCGCTAAAATGAAGAGGTTATAGAAAAAAGGTAGGTTATCTAAAATAGTTACGTTGAATGGATAATTGATGTCTTTATTCTTGTGCGAATATATTTCTTGTAATAGCTTGTTCTGAAAAAGTATAATTGTGATTATTAAATTACTGGGTTCAAGTGATAATTATCGTTAATTTACTGAATTAATATATCTTACTAAATACCCCTTGATCATTATCTTGATATTGTAAAATTTATTAAATTAAACAAAATGCTGCCGCTAGCAATGTCGTATCTTGTGCTCGAATAGAAATGTGTCAAATATCAATCTCAAAAGTCACAAACCAAATCGTTTTCCCAGAGATTTTTCTGCATGTTTATTTAGTATTTTCTCTGTTTGTCATTTTTAGTAAAAAATTAAAGAAAGGAAACTATGAATCAGTGTGGTTAATTCTCGGATATATATATCAGGTAAGTATCATAATTGTCCGATAGGATAATTATCATTCGATAGGATAGGTGATACACGAAAGGAACCTCCCCGTACAGCGTACCGTTCCTTTCCTTATGTCTGGTCCACCCTAGGCAACAATCGGCGAATACCTTTCACCACTATGGCAAACATTAAAGTGTTTGCCACCGATACGATAACAAGATCATGACAATTATCAAAGAAAATAAAAATCTTAATAATTTCGGACCTTGTTAAATTATGAAGTAGCCCGTAATGCAACCTGTTAAGAGAGGTCGGAAAAACCAGTGTAGGCAATGTGTGAGGTGAAATCGCTTACGGTGTCTGCCGCTCCCTGGAGGTTGAAAGTCCCCCGAACACAAATTATTTAAATTCTTTTTTTTTATGTGTGATCTTTGTGTGTGCGTGAAATAAATGGTTTAATCCTGCCCCTGTCTCACTATCTACTATCAAGTAGTAAACAGGGGTATAATTCCAACGTTACAATTTCATATACCCTTGCATATTAAAGCATGCAGTTGCATAACATTATTCTCATAGGCTTGCCTACGTACTTTATACTCGACTTGGCAGTAGAAAAGACTTTTTTTCTTTACCTTTTTCAAATATCCACTCTTCGCCCCACTGACACACTTACCCTCCGTGTGCGCGCGTATCTTGTTATATATATATATGTTATACATTACATTCCTCCTATTTTTGTAGCAAAAAAATATTGGTTTAGTAGCACTCCAATCTCGATCTCAATTGATAGGAAAAGACAACACAAAGACAAGACGGATGACTTAAACAATTTTAGGGTTGAGTCCCACTTGCCATTTTTCATCGGCACTACGTCCATACTAAACTTGTGTTTTACACAGGATGTCATTAGTACCCTTCAGCATGCCAGCATAGAGCAGCATCCATATAGCGTACTGCCACATGGAGTCCAACCTTTAATTACTTGCAAGTCTGTCATCTTTTTATAACATCGCCATATTCAAGCTCCAAAAGAGATACGGCAAAGAATATTTAAAGATATTTCCACATTTTGAACTGTACACGAGGTAAAACTCACTCGGCTCAATTTACGTTTATGTCACTTGTCTAATGCACAAACTAAAATTTGTAATATTATTGATTTGTAATATTAAGTTTAATGAATATCAGGAAGTTTTACTGCCACGTTATTAAATTATTTTTAGTGAATTACTAACACTGCAATTGTTATAATTATTAAGAGCCGATATAACCTCAAATTGTTGATTCCGCATAACAGTGAAAGTGTTGGATCAATAACTTTGGAGAAAATATATAGTAAAATTGAGGACATACACTGACTAGTATACGGTGTGAAAACACGATTCCCAAGTTTTCACGATAGAAAAAAAAACACAAACTTACCGCCGAATTTTAATTTTAAACTTTTTTTATATCAATTAAACTAAATGGAAGCCCTTTGAAAATTGGATATTGTGTAGTATACGATATACATTTTGCATATGGCTTTATATGGTAGTAAAAAAATAATTCTGAATTATTTCAGAGAGCCAGTGTCCCTGCCGCTCGACCAAAGCAAAATTAACCGTGCTGAGGTAGTAGTAGTCCACTCTTAATAGAAAAAGAAAAATTCCTTGGACTTGGCTGGGTTCGAACCATCACCTTCCGCCTACCGTGTCTGGGGGTCTACTCTCGATCTCCGTCCGACATCCGTCCGAAACAATTACTGTGAAATAAGTAACATTCGACAAAATTAAAAGAAAAGTATCAAGTATGAAGCTTCATTCGCATCACGCGTCTTTTCATTTGGCCAAGTATTCTTTTTTGGCAGTAATTGTTTCGGACGGATGTCGGACGGAGATCGAGAGTAGACCCCCTGACGCTCTCCCAACTGAGCCACGGAACGAACTAGCAGACCTTACGAAGTTTTCGATATGCTTGTTGCAGAATTTCTTTTTGGTTTGCCGTAGCGCCATCTGTGAGAAATCTATGAAAGTTTTTCGTCACTCAGCCAGGTAAATATTTCTTTTATTTATTATCTCATACAATTACACAGAATTACAATAAATTACCAAGGCATTGTAAAAGTCATAACTAGATAATATTATTAATAGTGATTCACAGAAAACAGTCGCTCATCAATCGTCTCACAAAGCCTCAAATATTCATCACACAGCCGTGCAATATACTTACAAAAACATCGGAGTCTGGTGCAGATACGAGAAGCGCATAGACAGTGCAAAGCTAGATCAAGCGGCGATCTACTGTGAGATACAGTGCGCACAAATATGTAACGGTAGCTGTGGGAATTCCTGAAACTACGCGAGAATTCTGCGGAAGATTGGTTTTTTGACTCTTATCTAATTCGTATGTTAACATAATCGGCATAAAGTTCATTATGCCATGTGCTATTTCGTTACATTCACTTCTTTTCTGTTTCGCGGCAATGTAAATTGAGCCTTAGAACACTTTTAGTTACTAAGCAACAGTTGTGTCATTTTGAGTTAGGTTTCGTAGAAAGAAAACCAAATTGATATGATTCTTTTTAAGTTTAAAGTGAAGAATACCAATTACAATAAAAATTTTCAATTTAATATTTCAAGAGAATGTCTATAATGTACGCTATCAAAATAGATACTACTACGTGATTGATCCATTTTCATTTTGAAAAACGTATCACCTCTAGGAGTTAGTTTGAAAACAAAGATCGGAAATTGGTGAGGATATTTTATTCCATAATACAGCATAAAGACAAACCGGAATGTCACATTTCGCATCTCATAAAATTTTTGATTTTCATAAAAATAAAAAAAATCCTATCCACCATACTGTTACAATAATTGTATCATTGAATTGTGTTTTAACAATTTCTCCTAAATTATTATAAAAATGCTAAGTTATAGTTAATTGTGTAAGAGCAAAGTACCGCTGAGAATTCTGAGCACTGTTTCCCTGTAGGCAGAAACACTTCTCAAAATGACACCGTGTTTATCTAATACATATTATATTATTATTATACCTAAATTACAAGTTAATCTCTCGGTTCGCCATGAGAAGTTGTCTGTAAATGCAGGTCCATCGCGACGGGCCTAGTGACGCGCCGACGGCACCCGCGGCCTCGCTCAGAACGGATCTCAATGTAAAATACATAACAGCTTACTCTACCTAGTTAACTTCCATAAAAATAAACTATCATCATACAATAAGTCGTTCAAATAAGTGGAATACGCACAAAACTGGTTTCACCCTACATCAAAGACAGAAGATAAATCTAATAGAAATTGTCAGTGACGTGCTCTGACGCGGCGAACGCCCCGGTGACTGTGCCCGCCGCGACTCCGGCCTACCTGCCTAGCGTGTAGGACTCTAACTAAAACAAATGAATTAAAAGTGAAGTAACTTTAAATACTTTTTTATTACGACAACTTATTCCACATTATAAGTATACATATAAAACATGTTATGCTGTGATTCACTTTATCAAGCGTCAGCTACCAACCTATCCACATCACATGCGCGATTACTCAGTAAGTGTACACCGTTCGTTCCTTTTCGTTTACTGATCAAATTATAAACAAAATTGTAATTTTGCATTAAATTTACACACTATATTTTGTTCAACGTCATCAGGGATCGAACAAACAACGCATCCGGTGTGTGGACCCTAACAGCACTCCACTAAGTACAGCATGACCCCCCTATGATATATTTGTACACTAACTGCCAATGGACTGGAATGGTCGGCCGAAGGCGGAGCGGGTCGCTAAGGCCGCTGCAGCCCCAAAGGCGACGCGGCCGCGGGTGTTGCGCGAGAATGCGATGCGAGCTCGGTCACCGGGTGACGCATCAGTAATACATTTATGATTCCGCACATAATACATTGTATTTTATAGCAAATAAAGTTAACATATCTTAAACCATAGTCTCTTTCAGTAATCAGATTTGTCTGTGTGTCGCACATGCAGTTAGCGGTTGGCGTTCTTAAGCTGATTGGAGAGCCAGTCGAGCCCCTCGTAGAGGCCGTCACCGGAGGTGGCGCATGTCGCCTGGATGTACCAGTTGCGGTTGCGCAGCGAGTGCAGCCCCAGCTTGTCCGTTATCTCGGCCGCGTTCATAGCGTTTGGCAGATCCTGGAGAACGCAAAACATCAGTAAACGTAATATTTAAAATAATTTTAATTTTATCAATGACATTTAGGATAGTATAGAAATTCACGACGCAAAAAGGTATATGCGAAGGTTATGGCAAAGCAAAATAACGTCAGGAAAAAAGTAAAGAACATGGTATCCTTAATAAAATAAATAAATAAATAACGCACACTCAACATAGCTCCGCCACTAGGGAAACCCTGTGTCGCGGGTGCCATGGACACACACATAGACAACCACAAATTACACCCAAACTCACGAAAGAAATAAATGTAAGCCATACAAACATTTCTCCCGGCCCGGGAATCGAACCTGGGACCTCTGCGTGGCAGTCCGGCATGGTAACCGTTCGGCCACGGAGGCAGTTAATTATGGTATATGGTATGGTATGTGATACAATCACAATCATTCACAAAAAAAGGCAGTGTACCTGTTTGTTTGCGAAGATGAGGAGTACAGCATCTCGTAGCTCGTCTTCGCTTAACATCCGCATGAGTTCCTCACGCGCCTCGCCGATACGCTCTCGGTCATTACTGTCTACTACAAAGATAAGACCCTGGAAAAATAAAAGTTACACCATTATTTACGTATTTTTCATGTCATACTTCGAAAGAATTTGTCCCAGTAGTTCCATTCACAATTCCTAAGAAGATTGCGTATTTCTTCCGGTGATTACACAGCAATCGGAAAAAAAAGATTTAAACTGAACGTGTCTCGTGCGAAACTAGAGACAACACGTTACTTAATAATTAAAGGTCGTTTGAGCATTTGGGTGCTACAGTATCAATTGTAAATATATTTAAAATGTCTTTATTTTGCAGTAAATAAAACATAGCTGTCATTGGTTTATTAATGATAGAATATTCAATAATGCTTCCTAAATTTAAAATTCAGATTATTTTTATTCTATAGTAAAGATTACACTTTTCAATATCATCAAATTGGCTAAACACTAACACTTAGTTATAAGGCTGATTGACCTGAGAAAAACAAATAAGAAAAATGGAGGTAAATAGTTTTTGTTCACGAATTTGTCGTTCACAATAATTATCAAAACAAAAAATATCATATAACAAGACGACAATCAACCAAAGTCATATGGATTTTTGTTGTCCTAGTTAGCAGGTAATTGTAACTAGTGTAATAATAATCTTTCATAACATAAAATGTAATTTTTTGCAATTGTCTTAACTTCATAATTGTAATTTTTTCAATATCAATAAGAAAATTTTTATATTTTTGTGGTAATGACTGTCAAGAACCATGCCATTCCATTCTGTTCCTTATCAGTGCTATTAATATTTAGATATACATAGACTCAGTACATAAACATGTAAACAAGGAGACTGTTGACTTTTGATGTCATTATTTATGTTGTTGTCCTGAAGCCGATTTGTAGCACTACAATTAATACATTACTCTTTTACTGCTATCTCAACAGTAAACTTCGAAATATGACCTACTTTAGTAATTTATGATGTGATAAAATATGGGTTAAACATATGTATATTGAAACGAATTTACTTATAAGCATTTGTATAAGTAGGACAAAAGATAAGCACTGATCATTTTTATTTTATGAAAGATATGTATATATATTTATTATATTATATTATTTTAATTCCACCACTTTCAGAAATTCTTACAAGATATTGTTGACTTCCCAACAAACACCCGATGACAGACAGTTAGACACCGCCAAGTGAGTCTTTTTTTTTTAAATCAAAGAATAAAAGAGTGTGGTTTCATGATGTAAAAGGCGTACTAAAAACTTCCCAACCTGTTTAACCACTTTTCATTTTTTATAATTAAATTCTAGGAGCAATTCCGATGTTATAGTACAAAATGTAGCCTTGAACTAAATTCTACAAGTACTACGTAAATTTCTGTGTCGTATATTATATATACCGCACTACAGTGTGACGTATCTCCAAACCATTGATGTATCAAATGTAAAGTTTGCTCAAATGTTAATTGTTTGTCTTTCTTTGTACCCAGGTAATGATTGTGGTGACTGATTTACGTTCATAACGTACCCAACGTCCTTAACTGGGTACAAAGAAACATAAAATTTGTCTAAAACACTATTCCAGATCCCAACAGGTTCCTAAGACTATTAGCGGCACTTCGCTTTGAGTTTGCACACTGGGCTTCAAACATAATGGTAATCAATATCAGGTTAGAAAATAAAGAATCAATACTATATTCTCGTATTTAACAATAAACGAAACTATTTCTTTTCATAAAATCTTCACTAAAAGACCTGTCACAAAATCTTTCTTTTATATTTTTTTTTATCTAAAACAAAAACCAATTAATAACTATCGTATTGTTATAGAATCAGTACTACTCATATATTGTCATATTTAACAATTTTATGAAACTATTTCTTTTCATAAAATCTTTATGCAAAAATCTTGTCAAATCTTTCTTTTATACTTTCTGTTTATGTAAAACTGAAACAAAAACCAATTGATAAACATGTATGTATTGTAATACTTAAAGTTAATGTTGGTTCAATTCTTTTTAATAACAACAAAAAGTCATTGCCTTAACTGTGGGAAAAACGGCAGAATAATACCATAGTATGAGTCAGAAGCAAAATTTTCCAAGAGCTGACTCTTGACCTAATAAGTGTTGCACCATAATTTGATCAACTGTTGTGTTTCGTACAATCATTGCTTGCTACATTGCAATAAAATAAATAATAAATAACTGACAGTCCAAGTAACCTAAGGAGTGATAGCAGTATTACGGTAGTAACACGTCTGATAACTAATCTTCGTTCTTACCTCAACTCCCTACGACTATGAGGCAGGCGAAGGCAAAGGATTAGTTAAACCTAGATAAAAGGGTAGGTAAATGTGGCATCATATAAACTCAAGCAAAGAGCTTGGCCACGAAGAGGCTAGAGGCGAGCTACATTGAGAAGAGCAATGCTCTTAAATAAAAGAAGTGATAGCAGAGTAAATAAATTAAAATTTAAAAAAAGGAAAAATGTTTACTAGGGTCAATTAAATTAGCATCCAACCAGCAACAACCAACAGAGACGATACTACCACTGCTAATGGCCTGATAAACTAGCTCTGCATTCAACTGAACAAAGCATTTCTATCTAAAGTGTTTTCACATGAAGCATACACAACTTATAAACCTAAGGTTGTGAGTTCAAGTATAAGTCTCCGAAGGTCTTAGAATAATAATAATTAAAATTGCATATCGAACATATTGTTATTGTTCCATTGACACATTCTTACAAATTGATTAAAATTATTGTTCTAAGGTGCTTTCACAAAGTGACTCACATTGTTTTCAATGCACCACATCTTGCAATGAACCCGCACAAATCTTAAAAAATATACAAACTAAAAACAAACCTGTGTGTTCTGGAAATAATGCCTCCACAGTGGCCTAATTTTATCTTGACCACCAACATCCCACACAGTGAAACTGATGTTTTTGTATTCTACAGTTTCCACGTTAAACCCTGGAATATATAAATTACAACACAATTTAAAATATGTAGCGAACAGTCTATATTGTATGCAAATCTTACTTATTACTACACCTATTCTAAACTCCAAGATTCAAGTCACAACTCAATATTTTCTAAATTGGTTCTAGTCTGGGTATTCAGGTGTGAAATTTGTTACTCTGGTACTCAAAATACAGCAAATTCCCTAATTTAAGACCAGGCAATCGGTATAGTTGTCTGGAACATTATTAACTTATCATTGTCACCGATATCATTGTCTGGAATATTGAAGCAGATTGCATTTCCCCACAAAACCCATAAGAAATCAATGGAAGCATAAGTAGAGAATTCTAAAAGTCATAAGAGAATGGATAAACTATTTGCTGTCAATAAAATTTAAATAGTGTTGTCTATTGAACACAGAATTTATTATTTCTGTAGATATAATAGAGTCACAATTAAACATATGTACATAATGTATCAAATTTCTTTTTTTTACATAATACCTTAATTAAAAATGTTGTATATAACATTCAAATTTATACATTGACAGTGTTGCAGTATTTTTACTTTGTAGGTACTGTACATTCCTCAACAAGATATAATTTTGCAAGCGCTTTTCTTTTCCAGCCTCCATAGATACAATTGTGAAATCAAACCAATCAATCATACATGCTCAACAGTAAAATCTGTGATAATAGTGAATCTAATGTTGTAAACTTTCACATAAAAAATTCAACTTATATTTTCAATTAACTTTATTTATTTTATTTCACAAATCTGTGTAACCATGCAACACAGTTTTATTCTACACACTTGCAGTGAAGTTATTTTCACTTGCTCTTGTTTTTTAACCACGCAGTATAACTTTCACTGAGTTATATTAGCAAAAAGTTAATATCAAGCCCTACAATAATGCAACCATAAAGAGTGCCACATCACACTGACTATATAATTGTAGATAAGGCAAAAGCTACTTTTCAGTTACAATAACAACAGGTAATAAAAAACTTAGAACTCACCAATAGTAGGAATTGTTGTAACAATTTCACCTAATTTAAGTTTGTATAGGATTGTGGTTTTACCAGCAGCATCCAAACCCACCATCAATATTCTCATTTCCTTTTTGCCAAATAGGCCTTTAAATAAATTAGCGAACATATTCCCCATCTTTCGGCTTTATAAGAAGTCTGAAACAAGATTCATAATTATTGGAATACTCCTTGTGACTCATTCGTCAGCCAACACACGTTATTTCAATCAATGGTAATGACATGGCAGTCACTGATGAAATTTTACGTCTTCTGTTTCTAAATGATACCACATATGACCACAGCAAACGCAAAGATAACCATATCAGTTGTTGAAACACAGTAAGCTGATCCTAGAACGTGCCGGAATCTTGGCGTGAGGTAAGGGTTTGCAACAAAGATTGGCCGACACTACTGCGGTCACCACCCTTCGTTTGTAACAGCCACAGAATGATTTTCTCAATATACCATTAATAAAAATTGTTTTACCAATACCCAAACAGTAACATCTATCGATATACTCACATTTTCAGACGCAAAAATCTATATTATCAAGAAAAAATGCTACACTTTACTGAAATCACTAAAATTCGCTGGATGTCAAAATGGCGGCGAACGTGGAAGTTGTTCGTGCTTATGCCACGTATCGGCAAAAAGTGGCCAGCTAGAAATATTCTTTTTTCACCAAGTTTTAGAAAAGGTTTATATCACATTCATAAATAGAAATTAATAAATTAATGATGAATTTTAACTCGAAAGTATAAGGAACGGAAAAGTCAAATATACCAGAGTTTAGCTCTAATTTTTGAAAAACGAATACTGTCAGATTACGTAACGAACAGTCCCTAGCTACACTTTTAATTTGTGGCTACAAAATACTTTTAGCGGCAAAGCAAAGCGGCCGTTGTTGCGTTGTTCAAATCAACTTTTTTTTTTGAGTATTGCTCAATAGACAAATAATGAATTGTTACATAGTATTGCTCAATATTTCAACAATCTAAGCATCAGCAATCAAAAACCTTTATTAACTTTTTACAGGACACAATAAATGTTATGTGACTATTCCATTGACCTACCAAAATGGAGTATTCTATTTTATTTTCGACATTTGGGGACAATTTGCGGACTAATTTAGTGAAGAGTTATCAATGCCATTTCACGTTTAGCGAACAAAAAATAATTAAGTATAAAAAATATAATTATATAAAATTGCGAAGTCCAATAAAGTGGTTACCTACAAAATATTAGGTAAGACATAGGTTGTAATACATATAATTAAAATGAACATATAAACTAGATTTTTTATAGATATTCAAATAGTTGCATAAACCCACTGAATATACCGATTTGTCGTTTGCTGGATTTCTGTCCCATTAATAACGAATAACTTATATCATAGGTAAGTATGCACAAGCTACATTTTCAGGACACTAAGGACATGCGTCATTAGGAAAGAAAGAAAGAAACGTTTATTCAGCTTAAGGTTTCAAGCTAAACAGGTAATTCACATTCATTCATTTCACATATACCTATCTAAAAGCTAAAACGGATCCAACTCAGCATAATGTTACAGCTCGCCTGCTGTAACGCTGGTTTTCAGTTGGAACCGCTTAGGCATATCGCTTACCACCAAGCACACGACTTATTCGTCCCATCGACTGAATCCACTGACAACATATTTATAGAGATAATAATATTATGATGATGATGATTTATGATAACAAACGCGAAAGATTATTATAGTAAAATAATACCAGAATAAGCCAATTAAAGATCGCAGCATGTGCGTAACGTGATTTTTCCCGTCCCGTAAAATTTACGGGAGTTATTGTTAATATCGTTACATATAAAAACATGTAAAGTATACGTGACGAGAACGGGACATGACTTGAAAAATATCATCTTCGAAGATATTTTGCCCATTCCCGTCCCGTATACTGTGACCTTTAAGGTCGCAGCAAACATAACATGCTTTTTCCCGTGTCTTACATTTGTTAAATCGTTACTTAGAAAAACATAGTATTCAAGTATACGAGACGGGCACGGGACGGGACGTGAAAAATATCATCGTCGACGACATTTTGCCAGTAACGTTTTGAAAACAAAGTTGCTCTGGAAAACTAAAAATTTTTTAGAATACTTTTATTACATTTTCTAAGTTCATGGGAATTATCAGCCCTTTGTTTACTAAGTCGATCAGAATCGAGAACTATGTTGCATCAAGTGAACATCACTAATCGTAAATTTGACCAAAAACGTGACGAAGTACGTACGTAAAGTACGTAAGAGGTACGGACGTACCTCGAAACTGAATGCATTATACGAAATTATCGCTTGTTCGATATTCATGACCTACTTAAGAAGGACCACAAGTGTACCGCGCCAAGTAAAAGTCGCAATGTATGGATTCATTCCGGCGCGGGGGCGGCGGCAGGTGCGGGTGCGAGGGTCTTGGTGTCTTCGCTTTTACAGTACCAAATCGGGTTTCTTTGCTGACGACACTGCGCTCTATTATTCGGCGCGGAGTTCCAAATTAGTTTTCGCAGCTCTGCAATCCGTCACCACACGCCTGGCGAGTGGTTTCGCAGATGGAGAATCGAAGTCAATCCCGACAAAGCGTGGCGATATATTCTGCAGGAGAAGTAACTTGTCCAGTCGTAGGGTAACCTAACCCCGATTTCGCTCTTCGGCCGCCAAATCCCTTGGGAGAACACGGTCAAATACCTAGGAATTACGCTCGATGGGAAGCTGTCATTAAAAACACACGTGAAAACCGTCCACGATCGCGCCCAGTTTGTAATGAACCGCCTCCACCGCTTTCTCACCAAGCATAGTAAACTCTCCATTCGTGATAAGGTGAGACTGTACACGATCTGCGTTCGCCCAATTATGACGTACGCCAGCGTCGCATTCGCACAGGCAAATCTCGCCCTAATACACCGCCTGCAGGCTCTCCAAAATGGATCATTCGCCACGCGACGGGTGCCCCGTGGTACCTGCGCAACGCTAACCTCCACATAGACTTATGGCTCCAATTGGGCTATTGTGGATCATGAATTCATGACACAGGCATCGATGAAATACTTCGACTCTGCTCTTCACCACCCCAACCCCCTCGTAGTGACTGCATCCAATTACGACCCCCTCGGGGAACACCCCCATCTCGTACGTAGAATCCGTCGCCCAAGGGAAGTCGTCAACGACCCTCACGACCCTATAACTCTCGCCACTTTGAAAGCCAACCAGATCGCAAATCAGTCCATCTCCACACGCACCAATCGTTCTCGCCGGCGAGGTCGTAGAGCCCCTCATTACATCACGTACACTGGTAGATTCTCTCCTATAGCACGCCCTTCTGGCGGAACTCTTCGATATTTTAACTGAATCGTTCGATTGGATATCGTTCTATAATCGAAGGGCGCTTTCCGATCAATTCAGACCATTCCGATCTATTCAGACCATTCCGAGTTAAACGTTCGATTCGGATTATATCTTTATCCAACAGCGTTTACGGAGTTAGTCGGTGAAATAGATTATGAAAATTCTTTTATATCAATTTTTAAGACTTTAAAGGCCCAAAACATAGGAATGCCTTTGTCTTGCGTTAAAATAAATTATAAAAATCCAGACTTTATTTAAAATAATAAGAAATTTCCATGTTACGTTCTTGCTTTGTAAACAATAGGACGTTCGGTAATTTTCATTCGATAACTGTGTTCTTGAATAATGTTTGTGGCCTTTGCCGATCGAGATGTTCGAGTAACCGTACGGGTGTGGCGTCATTTCGGTTCGATTTCGAATACGACAGTTTGACGTTCGATTTGGGTGTTGTGAATAAAAATGAAAAGAAATCGTTCAATATCAAATCGAATCGGTCGACAACTCAGTTATCGTAAGATTCTGAATCGATCTACAGGCCCGCTACTTAATTTTTAGTTTATTTAAGACGTTATGAACCTTCAGCTTGATTATTAAAGCTCGCCCTTTTCTCCGGTGGCGCAGTCAAGGCCATCAGAGGCCAAGTGCAAAATATCCTTTAAAAAAGAGGGTCGATCCACACGTCGAAATTGCAAACGCTAAACCTTTCCTTTATCAATATTCAACCAAGTTTATTGTATTCATGTAACAAAGATGTATCTAATGTTATGTCCATATTTATCGAAAATAATAATATCAAGCTTTAATATGTATGCCGATATATACCTTAAATAGCTACTCACCTAACCAACTTACCATATACTTTCTCATTCAAAACCCTGAGCGCCCAGACACACGAGGAGAAAGTTTTCGCGCGGCCGCCACGCGGTCGAAGAGCAGAGTCTGTGGCGACCACCGCCCAGCGTGCACGTGTTCAGAGACCAAGCTGTCATGGCAAAATACGCTCTATTTATTTAGCTTTTAGGTGAAATGCACTAGCTTGTCTTTTGTCTATGCGGCCGCCGAGCGGAGTCAGCTCGTCGACCGCGCGGCGGTCGCCGCGAAAACTTTCTCCTCGTGTGTCTGGGCGCTTAGCTTTTCCATAATCTGTTATTCTGCTTTTCCAACCTTTTCAGTGGCTAAATGCGGAGGCAAAGTTATTAATAATAATAATAATGTGCCATTGCCGGGAAATACCGCCTCTCCCATTTAAAAATTCAAAATTAATCTTTTAGGTCTTCGAAATAAAAGAATACTTCTAGCCGTCGTACTCTATAACTCTACTCAAAGCTCAAGTCAGAACTTGAGGATGATTTCAAGTTGTGGAATACGACCCTAAAATAGATATATTAATAAGAAAATACTTTATTTTTTTAACAGACTTCAAAACAAAGGAGGTTCTCAATTCGATTATATTTTTTTGTATCTATTTTACGCGATTACTCCGAATTGGATGATTCTTTTTTGTTGGAAAGAGGGTATCTCAGTATTGAGCCCATTTATATTTTGAAGAAAATATTTCACCTTTGCAAACTAGGGAATGAATCCGGTTCACTTTCCAGTAACCGATTTTAATAAAACTTTGCAAATAGATTTCATTCCACGAACTTTCGAGGTTTGTTTTATTGACAGTTAATTCTTTTAAATTGTTTTGTGTTTGTAGTTTTAAGGTGTTGTCCCCGTAGCCAAAGCTTAATAAATTTAAAAAAAAATCAACGACTTGTTATTTTTCTATTTCTGTTGCATCTACAGGAAATATGATAATGCTATCCTGCTTTCAGGTTTTACGAGTGAACCTTCAGTCATTGCAATTTTTTAATGGATTTTGGTCTTTGGTTACAATTTACCAGCCAGAGTCGATTATGAATTTCAGGGAGTAGTATCTCTAGTTTGTGCAGGGAGTGAACTAAAGAGTACCTTTACCTACTATACGAATTATACGATACGATGGAAAAAATGGTATAGGTTATAATTTATATATGATTCAAAAAAACTTTCATTTAAATCGAAGTCACAGAATGTTCGATAAACAAGACTGGCTTTCAAAACCTCCAAAGTTTACAACTTTCCGAGTGAATACACTCAAAAGTTTTAACTGTAATATTCTTGAAGACTTTTTATTGAAAGTACGTATATAATACTCCCACGAGCATTTCTGTACCTATACTATTTTAATTCAATCTACAATTTGTTTGTATTTAGCAAAGCGAAGAGCTGAATGCGACAGTCCTGAAGTTTCATTTCTTAAGATCAGATTGCCTTGTGTTAGAACGATGGTCGAAGAATGTCACCATGGAGACCAGCGATAACGAAGTGATAGTGGATCCTCTGTGTGCAGCAGCTGTATTAAGAGGTGCTCATGTATTCGCTCCTGGAGTCATGGGTTTACCTACAAGTAAGGCAAATTTAAAATACACCACCCATCAAAGCAGATATTATTGACAAATACCTTATTATTTTCGACGCAAATGGAGCTCAGTAGTCTTTGCCTACACCGCTAAAAGATAAATAATCTTATTATGTTTAGCAAATGAAGATCAGTAGGTAGTCATTGCTTACCCCAACATAGTATAGACATAATAGAAAACAAGGAACAAATAATTACATGGGCAGCTCCATCGTTGCACTAGTTATTACTGTTATTATTGGAAAAAATTATATAATATGTATTATTATTATAATCATAATTTTTCGATATTTTTTAATAAGAATATTTATGTAGAGAGGTAAAAGGACCTTAAACTGCCAAATAGTAATTTTACTGCAGTGTTTCAAAAAGAGTGAGGCTCTTAATTAAGTATTTAAAATCAATCTGCAGATCAAATAAAATATGTTAAATACAGAACAAACAATGAGTCGTACTATTGCATGATTTTTAGCATTCCAAAGCAATATTTGTAAAACATATATATATATGTTTATATAATATATAAACATATATATATATGTTTATATATATATATTATATATATATATATATTATATATATATATATATATATATATATATTTATTTATTTATTATTTTGTGATATCTTTTGGAGCTACTCGAGACGCGTCAGATAAATATTATGATTAAAATGTAGCGAGTTTCAAAAAGGTAGGGTCTGAAAAACAGCTGAAGCTGAGATTATCCTTTTTATCTACACAGTATCTATAAGTGATGTTATTTACGACTAAATTGTTTTGTAAATGTAGATAAATAAAGTTCTTTATTATTATTATTATTACAATAGAAACTTTACAGTAAAAATAATTAATTAAGAATACAATAATACAATAACTTTGCACATAATCTTTATCAGATATTTCCCTTTGAGTGCTACAGGAACCTGCTAAATATTGGTTTTCAACTGAAACCCGGTTATTAAATTCACATTTATTCCAAAAAACGCGTCGTTTACCCACTGGTTAACGACGCGCTGCACCACCGCTGCTCCGTCAGTCCCCATGAGTCGGTTGTTAACGTCGGATCTGTTTTATTTTTCAATTTTCTCCACCTGTTTTAATTTTATTCATATTAATTACGCGCATGGGTTGCGAGAGGCGAAGTGCAGTCCCTACACCGCTCCTCCTAAAATAGGCAAATAGGCTCGCGTTGTAATACCTCACCTTACACTTACACTCAGGTCCTTTACTTATCACCTACAGATTTGCGAAATAATAAAAGTACACTTATTTTACTGTTCAAGGCTGCAAGTTAGGTGACAGAGTTGACATATATGGTGACCTAGACGGGCAATGTAAGAGAGGCCTCAAAGTAAAGTATACTGGCAAGAAATTATATGTTGGAACTGGCTATTTAAAAATGCTGCGATGTGACTTGTTTGATAATGGAATTCAACCAAGGTATCTGCTTAATTTGGATCTTAAAATGTTTATTATGGCATGCAAAAGTTAATAAAAAAAAACTAATTCGTTGAAACTGCTCAGCTACACACATCAACAAGGGACTGAATCTAATTTGTGCAATAAAATTTATATCATATCTTACAAGGGCTTTACTTATGTCATATTAGTTGTGAAACTATGGTTCTTTGTGTTTTAGTGGTATAGCCATCCATACACTACTACCAGCGTCTAGACTACCTGTTGTAAATGAAACATTATATCCAAAGGGAGAAATACTGTTGCAAAACCTGCCTTCTATAGTCTGTGGGTGGGTGGTAAATGCTAAACCTACAGAACTTATTCTGGATATGTGTGCAGCTCCTGGAAATAAAACTACACATTTAGCAGAAATGAGTAACAACCAGGTAAGGATACCAACCCGTTTCTGATCCTTTCTACTGTTACAAAGCCTTGACAAGGCTATCTAACAGTAGAATATCTACTAGATCTTAATGACATTGTTTCTTAGTGATAAAGATTAGTGAAGACATTATGAATTCCAAGTTCAAATCTAGAAAAAACCAATGCCTCATTTCTAACTTAATAATTTTGAGAAATGCGGAGTAATTTTATTCTGTAACTCTTCCATCATTGTAAAAGTAATTTTCTATTTTAATAATTTTACTTGTTAATGTAGTTTTTAATAACCTTAAAAAAAGCTTTGTATGTAAGCTTTTAATATTCAAGGTGCTTTCCACCGGCGTGGCGAGACGTGCCTAGGTGAGACGAGGATTACAATTTCTATGCCAAAATTTCAATTCTGTCCTAGCGCATGATCGGTGGAAATGGTCTGGATTTACAGGTGTGCAAAGCGAGCGTTGAAATATTTGGTTGATGTATTACGAGCTCGCGATGCCCATGTTACTATCAATCGCGGAATTGTGAACCCATAATCAAGAAGAATCATATGAAGCTATCTTACCTCAAATCACACATACGTTCTTCTGTTTACATATTTAATAATAAAAACTGCACTGAATCTCTACTATCCACAACCACAGCCCGATCTCGCGATGGCTATGGCAATTTTTGGTGAAAATGGTTGGTGAGATTACAATTCTCGTTTAGCCCTCACCTCCCGCCTTGCTGGTGGAAAAGCACCCTTATAATTGTAGTGTTGAAAGGATTTTCTTTTGTTATTATTTTAAAATTTATTCTAGGCAATCATAATAGCAATAGACAAGACACCACAGAAAGCTACCAAAATACGAATAAACTGCGACACTCAAGGAGTGACCTGTGTTAGTGCATATCCTTATGATTCTACAAAAATCTGTTCAGAAATAAGCAGTGATGTGAATGGAGGCCCGCCATTCCCTCCTAACTGTTTTGATAAAGTATTGTTGGATGCACCTTGCAGTGGTCTAGGACAAAGGCCTCAGTTGGTAAACAAGTTAACACCTAAAATGATTCAGTCTTACAAGTTTGTTCAGCGTAAACTTTTATGCGCAGTAAGTTCGTTTTATTCAGTGTATTTTATAGGCAACAAAATTACCGTCGTTGGGAGCATCTGACTTTTTATTTGATTTTTTATTTTATCTTAGGCTGTAAATGTGCTAAAGGTCGGAGGGAAACTAATCTACAGCACTTGCACAATAACTGATGACGAGAATGAGAGAATGATAGCTTGGGCCTTGGAGAAATTTCCTTGCTTGACACTGGTGCCTGCTGAACCACTTCTAGGTGGCCCTGGACAACCTTCGTGTGGACTGTCAGATGAACAGAGGTACGTACTTATGCTAATATGTCGGGCTAAATGTAGAGTTCTAAAAAAAAAAATATTTTTAGCTAACATAACATAACATAACTTTTTCGTGCAATCACCCTCGTTGTTTTACTCAATGCCTTCCCTTCGGGTTCCTTGTCGATCAACCCCTACTTACCACCATATCGAGTATACCATAACCAGCAATAGAGACGAAAATAAAGGCCATACCTAAAAGTCAACTCTCGTTTGCACTGAAATAGTACAGCGCCAACAACTGACCTGTATGACATCTCCGGATATTCCAAAAAATATTCTGTATTTATTGTAATATAGTAAAGTATAGTTTCACTAGGCTGTTCATCTCACGGTCCATAGCCTCTTTCCATTGTTCAGTTTCGTCACACTTAGTCGCGTCCTGAAAAGTATCTGGCACCATCGCGTCACAATAATTAACGGTTATACAGTAGTAGCCAAATTCTTCATCAAATCGATGTGGTGCTTTAATTTCTTTCTTAGAAGTTCTCTTCTCATTATTCATTATCACTGTTATTAGGTATCGGGTCTTCTATTTCAATTTCATCAAGTGTATCTTCCCATTTTTCTTCATCTTTTTTATTTTCTTCATTATCATCAAAAGCAATAAGCTTAACATCTTCCTCAATTATATCCACGTGTTTTGCAACAACTTCTCTATTATGGATCAATACTTTGTAACCAACATCTGTATATCTTAGTAAAATGCCGTCACTGCTTTTTCGTCTCATTTTGACGTTAGTCTTTCTTCGGGTACTCTTACATAAACTTTACTACCGTACATTCTCAAGTATTTTGCAGTTGGTTTGCTTTGCAATAATTTTTACGAAAATGATATAGATAAATATATAAAACACCGAGTGTATATTTATCACTCGTTGTTTACTTTTCTCTGAAATAAAAGTATACTTTTAAAAAAAGACATGATTATTTACTACATATTTTTGAACACAACAAAAGTAGGTACTCGTTTTTGGAATATCTAATATTTACATAATTATATTCGAAAATTAAACAAAGTTTACATTGCACGCGACACCTACGTATATACAATGGTATTTATAAAAATACTTACATTATCTTCAGTGTACCTATATTGTGCGTTCGCAGTCATATACTGATCCCAAGAAACTTTCCATGGCGGTATATGCGTACCATATAGGTTCATAAACATCCTCCGCCCCCATACCCGATATTATAGATTGTTTTTTTTACGAAGATATGCACAAAAGTTTGCCTTTAACGAGTCTTCGCTTTCAACTCATTCACTGGTAATTTTATAATATTAGAAATACGATTCCATGCATTGTGAATTTTGTGTTTAATTTTATGGTTTGGATGTTTTGGGTTCCAAGTGAGCTCTTCGGTTTCATACTTAAAGTTCTAGAAATTGCAAGACCCGCGCATTCAGGCGCATTGCTCCAATCCATTTTGCAAGGTGTACCTACGTATCATCGCTTCGGGCGCTGGCAGTTTATCTATATAATATATATAAAGTATAGTTTATAGAGGAAGTAGTTAAACCTAAATAAAAAAGTTGGTAGATTCCAAGAAATTAATTCTGGGCAAAGTGGCTAAATAAAAACATAATTATGAGATTGCGTTTTTACATATATATTTTTCTTAATTTTACAAATTATAAATCGATAAAATAATTATTATCAATATCAACCAAATCATTATCATCTTGTGATATTGGAGGTTAAAGGTTGAGCTTTATTTTCGTTTTTTTTCCAATTGTTAACTTTTCTTACTAAAACAGCTAAAAGATTTAGTTACCAAATATTTTTTTAGCTAACAATTTCGTAAATGTGGATAAATCTATATAGCTAAAAACTCGATGCTAAAAACTGGGTACAGTGGCAACACTGCGAATAAGTGTAACTTCGCGTCGCCACACGTATATAACTTCGCGTCGCCACTCGTGCCTAACTTCGCGCGACGAGTGGCGATGCGAGTCGCGACACGAATAACGAGCTGACCGTTTACACACGCGTGGTCGTGTATCGCATCGCCACTCGCACGAATGTGGGAATGCGGCATAACATAGATTTTTTTTTTCAGGGTCATGGTGCAAAGATTTGGTCCTGAAGATGATGTTCTGAGACCTGTTGAATCTATCTACAAAGATACAATTGGATTTTTTATTGCAACTTTTATAAAAAATTAAAAAAAATGTATGTAATATGTATTTTCCTTTAATTTTATTTTTTTCCATTTACCTCATAACTTCAGCAGACTATTTCGTCTGTCGAAGGCAACGCTCTCGGTCGCTTCGATCGACTTCGGCTGCAAACCCTCGTCGTCAGATGACTAACTATTTATACCGGGTAGTTTGACGCCTTCTTCGGTGCGCAAACATAGGTAGCCTGACAACTTGATTTTTTTTTAATTTATAAAGGCTTTGGCAAAGCCATCAGCCTAAACATGAAGTTTAAATATGTTTCTGTAAATATGGCCGCCACATAGAGGATAGGCAATTTGAGGCGGCGTGCTTGGACTGACTCGGGAGCCTTAAAACGGGCCGGTACGGGTATTCTAGTTCGAGATTCGTATAATTTCGTGTTTCAATCTTCGATTAAGGCACAATAGCACTATCCTATTCCACTTTAAACTAGATTTCACAAAATAATTGAAATTCAAAATAAAAACGAAACTTTTCCCTCCAAAAGGTCCAGAGCGAATCGCTGACAACTTGATTTAAATGCGCCATCTAAAAAAATTAACGTGATGGTTTCATAAAAAAAATCTGGCAACATTAACGACATCAAATGTCAAAAGCAGCTGCGTTGTTTGAAAGATTCCAGAAATTGAAACGTGTTTATTGTTTGCAATTATTTAAAATTTATAATATCATTGACTTTTGATTGATTGATTGATATAATTATTTAAGCATAACCTATAAAATACTTTATTAATTTGTCACAATGGGCAAAACGTCCAAGGATAAACGAGACATATATTATCGGTTGGCCAAAGAAGATGGTTGGAGAGCGAGAAGCGCTTTCAAATTGTTACAAATCAACGAAGAACACAATATATTCGACGGCGTGTTACGCGCTGTGGACCTCTGTGCCGCGCCTGGTAGTTGGAGTCAAGTATTAACGAAGAAATTGCGGCAAAATACTACGAATTATAATGATGTTAAAATTGTGGCCGTCGACCTACAAGCAATGGCTGCGCTTCCAGGTGTGAAGCAAATACAAGGAGACATTACTAAGGTATCAACAGCGAACGAAATAATAAAGGAATTTGAAGGTTTGAAGGCTGATTTGGTTGTATGCGATGGAGCCCCAGACGTCACAGGTTTACACGACATTGATGAATACGTCCAATCACAGCTACTCCTAGCAGCATTGAATATCACAACACATGTTCTTAAGAACGGTGGTGTGTTTGTCGCTAAGATATTCAGAGGTAAAGATGTGACACTATTGTATTCACAACTGAAACAATTCTTTGAATATGTAACTGTTTCTAAACCAAGAAGCTCAAGAAACTCTAGTATAGAGGCATTTGTCGTATGCCAGAACTACATGCCTCCTGAAGGATATACACCTACAATGGTCAATCCTTTACTAGACCATAAATATTGTGACTTTAATCAATTTACGGGTCCTAATAGATACATAGTCCCCTTCAATGCTTGTGGAGATTTAAGTGCATATGATTCTGATACATCATATCCATTGTTATTGGAAGGACAAACAAGCTATGAATATAAAGAACCAGTCCAAGGCCCAATCAATCCCCCTTACAAAGAAATACTGGACAAAACTAAAAATATACAATTGAAAAATAGTTAAAGAGAAATAAACTACATATGGGTACTCTAGCAATGAGGCGGCCAATCGGACATACTGTGTTTTGTATTTTTATGTTTCCTGTAAATTATTAGTGTGTGCAATAGAGTATACTTATCTTAGTTTTCTTTTTGATTTTGTAATAAATTCATCCATGTACCTCACCTTTATTATAATTATTGTAAACTACATATCTTTATATACTGCTACTTTGCATATTTTAAATATCTTTTGGATATACGACTATTACAACTTTATACACAAATCCTAGTGAAAAAGAGTAATAAGACATCAGTGTCATATTGATATATTATTATGTTAGCCTTACAAATAGAAACACATTTAGAACAAAGATGTTCAATGCCCACCACCACAAAAAGTAATTGACAATTGTATTTTTTATATTAACATCAAATCACAAGGAAAAATAGATTATATGTGTACTTTATATAAATAATTAAAGTTTTTTTTTTTCAAATGTGGTAGCACTACCTGGACAGCATCAACACCCTCCAATTGCTTCTGAGGCCCCTACCACTCCCATGAAACTTTAGCGACTATTGGGGGGCAGTAGGGACCACTTTGGGAACAATGCCATGTTTCCCTGTCTGTTCCATGGTGGTTTAGTATCTATGTGCAGTTAACATACAGTAGAATTAAAATCTTAAGTGTCTTGATATACTCTTGTAGGTACATGTATAAAAAGGTTTAAATTAAATTTTACCTTTACAATACAATGAAATTATACTAAGTAACAGATAACATTTTATTTACATTAAAAAAACTGATATTTTTATGTAAAATTCATGCTTGACCAAAAATTTTAATTAACTATAACAAAATTCCCATAAAAATACTTAATGATACTCAAGATAGTTTCTCTGTATCTGCTATGGATTTCACTCATATTTCACCATTATTATTAGGGTGGGTCATTCAGGGCCTATGCAGCCTCTCCTCACTGCGACCATTGACTGATCTGTTGTGATCACCACTAATTGCAGTTCAGAGCTAAGGCCGACCGACAGCATTAAGGAATTGAAGGACTTGGCTCCGACAGTTTTTATGTTGTGGTCTGTGCCTTCCCAATATAGGAACTTCGTGCGCCCATCAGGAGACAGCATTGGGTGAGGAGATGCACTGGAATTTCATCCACCTTCTACCATCCAGAATCTACACTATTATCTCTCTGCCCTATTTGACACGTGCTTGCTCAAGCCACGATGCCCTGTCCAATTACAGAGCTTCACTAGATCATTCTCTACAGTACTTGGCACTGTAGGTAGCTATCAGGGCTTTTAAATGCTCAAGACCCTTGTTTTGTAGCCACACTCCTAGGGAGAGGTGTGTAGTCTCATTCAGCAAAGTGAACTTAGGCAGGTTGTATGCTATACCTATAAAGCGTTAGGGTCCAATAGAGGTTTCCCTAGCACCAGCCTTTACCAGTTCATCCGCTGACGCATTACCCTCGACCTGGAACTACTATTCAATTTATTCATCTATTATTCCATTTCAATGTCAAAAGTTTCCGATCGGCCAGTTGTGAATCGCAATTATGCGCCTCGACTCGGAAAAGAAGCAGTTTCCGATCGGGCGAGGCAATCAAAATAAGCTGCAAGTCCCGATAAGGGTTAAACTCACACTGGCGCAGTCGAAGCATCGCGTCCTGTTTTTCGCGTATAGCATATTCATCTCTATTTTCCCATTATTAAGGTACAAATTTGTTATGCAAATATGAAATATGGTTTCGCGCGTCCCCGTGCGTTACCTACGTGCGCGCAGTGACGCGTCAGACGCCGACCACGCTGTAATCCGGGCGCGCTAATGCGACGACGCGCGTCGCTACCTAGTTGAAAAACAGGATGCAACGCGACGCTTCGACTGTGCGCCAGCGTGAGTAGAGCCTAATATAATATATAATATAGCGTAATATTTTATTTTCATTGGAATTACACCTATGTGAAATTGAATAAACCTGATTCATCCCCTAATTTGCCTCTTTTAGACGTATAATATTTTTGAGGTAGACCACTACTGAGTAGATATGAGCACCGATAATAGACCAATGGGCGGCGGCGCGCCGACGAAAAATTTCGACGGCGGCGGCGTTTCGGCGTACAGTGGGCCCAAATTGATAATTCTTGGACTTAGGAAAAACTGGTGGAGTATCGAGCTAATTTTTTTTATATGATAGATAATAACATTCCTAACAACTTTCATTCTTGTATAATTTCTTGAAAAGTTGGTAGTTTCGGAGAATTTTTTTTTGTATGGAGAAATATACATTTTATTTTTTATCTCAAAATATACGAAAATGTAATAATAATAACGCACACACTCAACATAGCCCCGCACTAGGGAATCCCTGTGTCGCGGGTGCCATGGACACACACATAGACAACCACAAATTACACCCAAACTCTTACTCTCCACACGCAAAATAGGCGCTTTGTCGTCGAGTTGCGGAAACCAGCCCGTTGCACCAAGTACCAAGTACACCCAAACTCACGAGAGAAATAATTGTAGGCCATACAACTATTTCTCCCGGCCCGGGAATCGAACCTGGGACCTCTGCGTGGCAGTCCGGCATGGTAACCGTTCGGCCACTGAGGCAGTTAATGTAAGGCAGTTAAGTAATGTACGTGGGTTACTTACAGTATAGTTCCAATCATTTTCTGTGTAGAAAAAAATAATCCGTCTGCATGTACTTGCGGCTTTATAAGTAAAGGTGCGGCAAAATTGCTAACTCTTTTATATACTTTTTTTAACAAAATACATGAGATTCGACTAAAGAAAAATTAATTTTAGTGTAATTTAGAGAGTGTTATAATAATAATATGAAAGTTAAGTAGAAACTAGTATATTGTGTTAAAAAATAAATAACAGATCTAAAATTTTGACACCTTTTTACTCGTGAAGCCGCAAGTACCTGCAGATGGATTATTTTTTTCTTGATAGAGAATGATTGGACCTATATTGCAAATAAACCACACACATTACATTTTCCTACGTTTCGAGATAAAAAAATAAAATGTTTATTTCTCCAAACAAAAAAAACTAAAATTTTTTTTCTCTGAAACAATCAGCTTTTCAAGCAAATGATTGGAACTATACTGTAACCCACGCACATTACATTTTCGTATATTTTGAGATAAAAAATAAAATGTATATTTCTCCATACAACAAAAAAATATTTTTTTTCTCCGATGCTACTGAACTTTTCAAGAAATTATACAAGATAAAAGTTGTTAGGAATGTTATTATCAATCATATAAAAAAAAATTTGCTCGATACTCGATACAAGTTATTCCCATGTCCAAGAATTATCAATTTGGGCCCACTGTGCAGCGGCGCGAGCGCGGCCCTAAAACGAATTTGTATAACGGTGTTTGTTTTTACAAAAACCGTTTTACAAATACTTTTTCAAAGAAAAAAAAAATAAAATAACGTATTTTCTATAGTAATCAAATTTTTATCAGTTCGATCAGGCGCTCTGATCATACGCACGGCCGCACGGGCACGCTTCCGTATTGTGTATGCGTAGTGAAAATGGCGACGCACGAAATTGACAAATTAATTTTTTTAAACAAAACATCTATAAAGCATAATAATAATAATAACGAACACACTCAACATAGCCCCGCACTAGGGGAAACCTTGTGTCGCGGGTGCCATGGACACAACAAATTACACTCAAACTCACGAAAGAAGTAAAAGTAAATGGGAGTCGAACCTGTCCTTTCCATGGCAATCCGGCATTGTGACCGTTCGGTTACGGAGGCAGTTATATCTTCAAATATAAAGTCACTTACTGTGACTTGGAATTAGTGGAGGCGAAGCTGGACAGTCTTGAACACCGCCGTAAAGTTGCCAGCTTATCGGTATTTTACAGGATATATCACGGAGAGTGTGCGATGAAATTACACGATTTAATTCCACTTTCCCCTTTCCGTCACCGGGGGACTAGGCGTAGGCTTGGGTACCACCTCTATGTTGTGGATATTCCAAAGATTCGCACGAAGCGTTACGCTTCCACATTTATATGGCGAACGGCTATGGAGTGGAATTCCCAGCCTGCAGACTTGTTCCCTGAGCGTTATAATTTGGGCCTTTTCAAGGCGAAAGAGAATGGGCATTATTTAGGTGTGCATGCTCCATCGTCGACCTCGTCGTCACTTTCCATCAGGTGAGATGGGGGTCAAATGCGAACTTACATTTTATAAAAAATAAAGTTTTATTTTAGAAAAGTCATTTTCTGGCGTCGCCATTTTCAAATACATAATACGGAATCGTGCGCATGTGTACGATCGGAGTGCCTGATCGAACTGAACGGCGCGCTGATTGCAGTTGTCATTGGCAGCGGCGCGCCGCCGGCGCGATGCTCATATTTACTACTGAGGTACCTCCTTTCCAACAAAGAAACAATCAACGAAATCGGTTAATGTCGAATGATCGCGTAACGTGTATTTGTAACTAAAGTAACGTGTATTTGTAAGTGTAACGAAAAATACAGGCAATTGAGAACGTCCTCCTTGTTTCAGTCGGTTAAAAATGAAGTAACCTGCTGATGTAGCTGATATAAATTTATGGCACTGACGTCTTTCACATTCTTAATTTAAAATAAAAATACATCTAAAAATGGTTTGAAAATCTATGTCAAGTTCGATTCAGTTGTGTTAAAATTTTACGTTTATCGCCAAACTTGTCTAAATTTCTGTTTAAATGCAAAATTTTTGGCTTTTTTCGTAAATTGCTTTGTATAACTAATCCAAAATGAAGAAAAAATTTCAGATGCCCAGTGCAAAATTTATTCTCAAAAACCGGGTAAGAAATTACGTATAATGTTACAATTTTACGTCCGTTTTCATTCACCGTAACAAAATTGATAAAGTTTCTTCCTACAGATTTATTATGAAAATATTACTAATCAAATAATGAGTATTGTTAAATTTCTTAGCACGTCAAGCTTAACATAGGATTTTTTTTTATAACATCGGGCTGAACAAGTCGTGCGCCTGATGGTAAGCTACACTCCAGTCCATAACAGTTAGAATGCCACTCAGAACTTTACAAAGATCTGAGGGGCGTTACTATTGCGCCCGTCACCCAGAGACGTAAGTTGATAAATCCCATGTGCTTGTAATTTCACCAGCATCCTTACCCTTCAAAACCGGAACACAGTAGTGCTGACCTTACTGCTTGGCGGCAGAAATAGGTAAAGTGGTAGTACTTCCCTGGACGAACTCTTTCACAACTCTATTGCTACTTATAAATTCAATTATAAATACTTCCGATGAGAACGGCCCAAAGCACAAAGTGTTAAAATCAACAGCACACCAAGCTTTTTAACAAAAACGACGCAAGCACATAGCACAATAAAGACACGACGCAAGCACATAGAAAAATTCGTGAGGTCCGCTGTTTCGTTCCGTGGCTTATAAATAGCGTCTAGCACAGTAAGCTAGAAGACGTAGGTTCGAATCCGGCCGGATCGAAAGAATTTTTCTGAGTGTTCGATCTTTGTATTAATAATTATAACAAACTAGGGAAGTAATTTCACAAAAAATAATTGAATATCAATTCAATAAAAATTTAAAATACAGTGAATAGCGACATCTCTCGCCAGGACTGGTAGCTGTAAAGGAACTAACTGGGTGATAAATCTTATAAATTTCACATAGATGGCGCTACGACTAAAAAGTCGTTGAAAAACCAAATACAAAGACACGACACAAACACATAGAAAAATTCGTGAGGTCCGCTGGTTCGTTCCGTGGCTTAGTTGGTATAGCGTCTAGCACGGTAAGCTAGACGTCGGTTCGAATCCGGCCGGATCGAAGGACTTTTTTCTGAGTGTTCGATCGTTGCATTATAATACTACGTAATAATACTACTAATAATACTACGTAGGTACTCATGATATAGGGGAGCGAGGGTAATGGGAACCTACTAAGGAAAATTGACAATAAAAGTTATAGTTTATGCAATTAAATTTTCATTAGTTTTGAACATACGCTTCACATATCTGGGTACTAGATAATCACAGAAAAAATATGAAACTAAAATAAAATATTTGGTTAAAAAAGAAAAAACTAAAACATGTCATTCGCTCTCATTACCCCACAGTTCGGGAAATGGGCGCCGATAAGAATCCCGTATGTCAAATGAGAGCCACTATATACATATAATCAGTCTGATGAAAAAAATTAAAGTAATAAAACATATAAGTTAAAAAGTAATGAAAATAAATAAAGTGTTAAAGGAATATCCAGTGAATATTGCAATGGGATAAGGAGAGCCAAATAGCTCTCATTACCCGCGTAATATCGAATTGAGAAAGGAATAAAACAGTAAAAACATTTGTATTTTTATTGTGATTTCAAGCATAACTTTTAAAATTTGGTAGATATGGTGACATAACTAGTGTAAATGTACAACAATGTAGTATCTATGCATTTTAATGCTTACCTGGGATGATGAAATTTAGCAAATTTTATAAGCGCGGAACGAAAAACACAACCATCTCATACGACTAAACGCGGGACTCGAACCTTGCCGAACGTTAACGAAGATATAGGAGTGCCGTTTGCACAAATACAAGCATTGGGAAAGTCCAGTTTAACACCGCTCTCATTACCCGCGGGCTCCCAATACCCCACGTTCCCTTAAATACTTACAAGGTCATTTTCAAGTTTTTGTAGGTACATATTAGTTACCTGTCTGTTTTTAATTCACAACAATTAAGCTATGGTATTTAGTTTTAACAAAATGCACGGAATTCACATGACTTTCGCTAAATCTCATGACGCCATTAAGTACTTATAATATAATTTAAGAAATTAAGTGTAAGCGACACTTTGGTGTCGACTACACACTGAACCTAAAAGCGTTAATTACAAACGTCTTAGCTACCGTCTCAATGGTCACAGCGTTGTTTTTGACGTAGTCATCATGAGCCCCATATAGGATACACCTATTTTTTTCAGGCTTGCCTACAGTCTAGAGATAGAGGGTCTAAACTAACTATTAATTCTCTAATCTCTCGAATTTTATGAAGCTTTACTTTTTGTTTGACCGGCCTTTTTAAAAACGGCATTTTTTCACGAACAATGATATCGGTCGGTAATTTATAGTTCAGACAACAAAGTACTTACTCAAAACGAAGGAAAAATAAGTTATTATCTTTACCTTATAATTGTCTACTAGGTCCAAATTAAAGATTTACTTTGCGAGTGACGTGACTCTTGTTCCTTTATTTATTATTCGTATTTCAGATAAATAAAAACAAAAAGGGCGAGCCGGTATGGATTTTTTTAGAGCGAGAAATGAGAGCAAATTCCGATAAGAAACCATACAACAATGTTGTGGGAGAGTGGCTTGTTTTTCTTAAAGATTTGAAAAGCCATTACCGCCGAGTACAATTACAAGAGTTGAACAGATTGACAAAAAATTGCGGTCCACCATGGTTTATTGAGCTATCGAGTTTTCAAAGAGAGACATTAGATAGTTTAAAGTTTGATATACACACAGACTTGATTGGTGGTCAAACGGTCCATGTGGAAACTGCATTGAAACATATCGGAATAACTAAGAAGATTAACAAAAAAACGTTGATGACATGTATGGAGACTTGCGTAGAGGATCCAGGCGTATTTGTGTGGAATCTTTATAAAGACATTTATAAAGTGCCACCGAGCACTTTACTGCCTTGTAAGAAACGATTAAGTACCTAGTTTAAATGCGAAAAATTAAAATAAAAAATTATAAAGATTAAAAAATTTGGAACACCAAGCTTTCTGTAAGAAAATACACGTACAAAAGTTTACATCTTTTGTTTGTTTCAGCATACGACTTAAACTCTAGATTATTAATGTCATCTCTGGTTTTTATTGATTACAAGGAGTGTCTACAATCACTTGACAAGATAATGGAAAAGGAACCGCCTCCACCACCACCGAAGCCTGCCAAGCGTATGTAACATAATTCATTTCTACATCTATGATTTCAACTACACTTCGTTTTTTTAGTATTATAACACCACGTACAAGAAATATTAGTAACCTCGCCATGCTGCTAGATAGCTTTGCGATCAAAATAGAACGCGCTATGGAAGTGTTCACTAAATTACCGTTTATGTTCTAAAAGGAAATTGCTTTGTATCGAATCATAGGGACTATGAGTGACACGCCGGTACTTACACCTGCTGGGATACTTGGGTGAAAGCTCATAGAATCGTCGTTCCTTATCACCGATCGCTGGCTGCCGCTTCCACCTCGTGAGACGGTGCGCTGAAATCTGAAATCGAGCATGACTGCGATTACGTGTCTTATGTCGATCATACAACTACGTCAATAAACGCCGTTGTGCATGTGGAGACTCGAGTGTCTTTCTTCATCCTCTCTCGCTTCGTATACCTATTACAGAAAAAACGTAAACAAAGAAGCAGTGATCGTAAAATTTTTCCTCATACAACAAACGCAGTAATGGAAAATATAAAGAGAATTTATGGCAAATGACATTTTTAAATCGGTTGTATTTAACCGCTCACTAAAAAAGCAAGTTTTTTTACAACCAAATATGCCACTTCCCCAACAAAACTGATTGCACATTAAAATATGTACACATCAAAAGAAAACAAATTTAGAATAGATAGATAGAATCATATATATAAAATTATGAACCTAATATTAATGCGTAACATCTTATCGCAATGCATACATAATCCAATATTTCTGGCATACAACAAACGTATGACTACAAATGTATGAGAAAAAAACTTGCCTATTTGACTAAAAGGTACCTTTTAGTACACCAGTCTATCGGAATGAAACAACATTTCATTTGACATTACTAATTACACAATTTGTCCAAAACAATAAGATCATTTTTGTAGTAGATTAAGTTCATTTAATCTTTAGTGAATACTAAGAGTAAATTATGTAATAATTACCTACACTTTAGTGAAAATATATGAGAATTTTGTTTCGCGGCATTTATTAAATTTGTTTGGTTACAAAATGACTAAATGAATTGGCGCCGGTTATTCACTTCGTTCGCACGAAAAACACTTAATAAGTGTTTTTTTTTATTTGACTACTGATTTACAATGAAACAAAAACGAAATGTTAATCCTTTCTTCTCGTAATACATCTCTGAAAACCCCATTCAAATCGCGGGCTCTCGTGGGCACTCGCGGGCTCTCCCGGGCACTCGCGGGCTCTCCCGGGCACTCTCGGGCTCTCAAAGGCACTCAAATTTATTTATTTATTTATTTATTGGAAGATTTACAACGAATTTTTAACAATAAGTAAATGTTGAGTAACATTTGAAAATGCTAATTACAAATCTCCATATGGACCCGAAAGCACTTAAAGGCACTCAAAAGCACTCAAAGGCACACGCGGGGACTCAAAGGCACTCGCAGGCACTAATAGACACTCAACAGCATTCAAAGGCACACGCGAGTACTCAAAGGAACTCGATGGCACTCAAAGGCACTCAAATGCACTTAATGGCACTCGCTGGCACTCAAAGGCACTTGCGGGCACTCAATGGCACTAGCTGACACTCAATGGCACTCAAAGGCACTCGCGCGTATCAAATGCACTCAAAAGCACTCACTGGCACTCTATGGCACTCGCGGGCACTCACAGGCATTCGGAAGCACTCAAAGGCACTCATGGGCACTCGATGGCACTCAAAAGCACTCAAAGGCACTCAAAGGTACTTAAGGGCACTCAATGACACTCATAGGCACTAAAAACACTCAAAGGCAATCGCGGGCTCACATAGGCACTTGATGGTACTCAAAGGCACTTAAAGTACTCAAAGGCACTTAAAGCACTCATTGGCACTCGCTGGCACGCGCGGGCACTCAAAGGCAACCGCTGGCACTCAATGGCACTCAAAGGCATTTGTTTGTTGACACGGTGAGAGTCAGAATGGCGGGTGTACCTAAACGAATCCTGGCAGATTTTGTATGAAAAGAATTTACCTAAATTGTACTATTTAGTACCTATGTTTAAAAAATTTGTACATCCATCAGAACAAACTTATAGCAATATTGAAGGTACACTCGCCGTATTGACAGTCAATATGGTGGGTGTACCTCATAGGCATACGCTGGCAGTCAAAAGGCATCCGCGGGCACGCAAAAGCACGCGTTGGCACTCAATGGCACTCAAAGGCACTCAATGGCACTCAAAGGTACTCGCGGGCACTCGAAAACGTTCAAAGGCATTCGTGGGCACTCATAGGCACTCCAAGGCACTCAAAGGCCCTCAAAGCACTCGCTGGCACTCAAAAGCACTCGAAAGCACTCAAAGGCACTCAAAGGCACTCGCTGTCACTCAAAGGTATGCAAAGGTACTCGCGGGCACTCAAATGCACCCATCTGTAGTTACATACACTGCTTTATTTAAACACATAAGCTCTCTAAAATGTGTTCAGGAACTCGCATGTTACGACATGGCGGCAAATAAAAATGTCACGCAACCGTAGTTTTTTTTAATTCATAGACAAACTAAAGTCGGCCCCAACTATCATATCATTCGATATCAAGTAACGCGTGAAATTTGTGAAAATTGTTTGCTATAGGTAGAATAAAACTTCATCTCGACTGATATTAAAATTGAGGTCGAATTTCCTTTATTTTTCCATGGGTCTAATCAAATTGTTTCGTTTTTTATAGATGTTCAAAAATTTAACGTAATAACATTGACTTACAAATAAATGGACGACGGGTCTTATACAAAAAGCACGAAAAAAATGTCCCAAGTCAACCTATTTAAACGTAGTGACATGTAAAGGAATATGAATAAGCTAAAACGTTGAATTTAAATTGTAATGTCATCGCAGTACTGTCTAATTTTGCTTGCTTCGCTGTCAGAAGAAACAAACGAAGACTAAAGCGTGAATGACGCTCTGTATACGATTTTAACGCCCTATAAGTTCGGACACTTTTTAGCGCGGACCCGACGTCCATATAATTGTAAGTCAATGCGTAATAATAAAATCGAATTTGATGTTATTACTGGGCAATAATAACTTTTTCACAGCTATGTAATTTTTTCTAACAAAACAGTTCCCTTTTGCGGTTTTGGTTGCGGAACACAAATCATAGAGGGTTTATGAGATGTGTGTAGATAAAATTATTTATTATATGCTTCACATCATAACATTAAAGATCCTGCATACTTATTTGTTCACATTTTGGATAATTTAAGTACAGATGCATGATTTTTTAACAGCGCCAAAGAATTTCAAGCCTCAAGTTCAATTTGGAGAATATCTACAGAGGACGTATGCACCCTTTTATACCAATAAACCACAGGAGAAGGATAGGGTACCACGGCCTCTGAAACGCAAATTAGGAATTAGATCTGCAGAGGTAATGGATAAGTTGTCTTATTAGCAAAACTACGTAGTTATTGTAAAAAACCTAAGTACACACATCACAAGTGTCTAGGGATCAAGTGAATATTTTTGAAATAAAAATTATTTAAGCAATATTTGCCAAATCCAGTCTTCCAGGACGACTTCTTACTTTAATGCTTATGTTTTATTTAACCGCTTACCCCTATATTTAATTAAAATAAACTAAAATTGATGTTTTTGCAAATTGTGGGAAAAAACTCAAATTAACGGCGTCAATTAAATGACAAAAAAATGGCGAAAATGATGATTTTGCTCATTTTTATTGTAAAGATAAGAAAATTAATAATCTGTATTTCCACCATTAACACGAATCACACAATTACAGCGATTTGGCATGCTTAAGATGAGTTCATCAAAATCACTTTGAGGAATGGCCGCCCATGTGTTTTGTAACAAGTCAAAATATTGTTGTAGAGTATGTACGGTATACATACTCGGCACAGCTCTTCTTTGAAGCATATTCCATGCGTGCTTAATTGGACTGAGGTCTGGCGATTGAGCAGGCCACGGCAGAACGTTGATACGAGCTTCGGCAAGAATGCTTGTTACGACTCTAGCCGTGTGTGGACGTGCGTTGTCATGCATTAGTTGAAATGAATCACCCAACTGGCCTCGCAAAGGGATGATAACATCTGAAACAATCCTCTCTGCGTAAACTTGAGCATTGAGGTTACCCCTGATCCAAATTGTCGTAATAGTAATGTAGGTACTAGTTTAATTATAACTAGGTGGGTAGTATAAAAATAAATCAGTTACTTTTGACAAGCTGAACAGTGTGTTTCATTGTAATCGTTCCCTAAATACTACATGGTGTCAGGTGTGGTTATTTTGAGTTTTGATTGAGTTTGTACTGTTGCATAAAGTGTAAAATCATGCCTAATCAAGGTGAAAAGGTAACTCCCGGCGTGTCAACGTCGTTTGCGGCGGCTGTGTACTCGGCGATTCAACAACCGGCCGCCATGAGCGAGGAAGGCAACGTGTCATGTAACTGGCGAGAGTGGAAATCTTCTTTTGACTATTACTTAATCGCGTCGGGCAAAGAAAAAGCACCGTCAAGAGAAAAATGTGCGTTGTTTTTACATGTTATTGGAAAACATGGGCGAGAAATCTTAGAAGAACTGGATGTGTCAGGGGAAATTAAAACTACTTACGACGAATTAGTGGCGATATTCGCGCAGCATTGTGATCCAGCTCGTAACGTTAATTACGAAAGGCATTTATTTTTTGAAACTTATCAACACGAAGAAAGGTTCGATAAGTTTTTAAGCAACTTGAAGATAAAAAGTAAATCGTGCGAGTTTGGATCTTTGCGGAGCAGTTTAATTCTGACACAGTTAATCAGAGGACTGAAGGACTCTAGCGTACGTGAAAGATTGTTGGCAAAGAGAACATTGCAGTTGGACGAGGCGGTGTTATGGTGTCGAGCCGGCGAAAGTGCCGGGCGACAGGCCGAGGCGTGTGTCGGCGGCGGCGGCGCGCACTCCGCGCCTGTTCGCGCGCTTGAGGCATTGGGTCGGGCACCGCGAGGGCGCAGCGCCCTGCGTGGAGCTCCAGGTGGCCGGGGCGCTCGAGCCTTTGCGCCGCCGAGGCAACATCGAGAGGAGTCTTGTGCTAATTGTGGGCGTAGGCATGGCGCAAGTGGCAAGTGCTGGGCACATAACGTTAAGTGTTATAGGTGTGACCGTGTGGGACACTTCGCGAAGATGTGCAGATCGAGATATGTCAGTGAGGCGTTAGAGGACTGCCAGGAGGTGGACCGCGAACAGGAGGACTACGACGAGAGTGAGTTATGTTTGAGTGATTTGCATTTAGGTGCGGTTGATGACGGCAGTGATTGTGAGCCGTGGTATGAAACGGTGCGCGTTAACAATGTAGGTATTCGATTTAAGCTAGATAGCGGGGCTGATGCCTCAGTGGTTTCATTTAAAACATTTAAGGAGGCAGGCTTTCATACAGATATTTTAAAGAATGATAAAACGGTGTTAAGAGAAATAAGTAAAGCGAAGTTACCGGTGATAGGATATTTTGAACCTATATTTTCTTACAAGGATTGTAAGACAAAGCAAAAACTTTATGTGTTAGATGTTAGTTGTAATAATCTGTTGGGACTTAAAGTATGTAAAAATCTACAACTAATTGGTCGTATTTATGAAATATCGCAAACTATTGATAAAACTGTGTTTGACGGCATAGGTTGTCTGCCTTCTATTTCGAAAATAACAATCGATGAAAATGTGTCTCCGGTCGTAAACGCGTCTAGAAAAATTCCTATTAAAATGCAACCTCGTCTTAGAGAGGAATTAGAAAAGATGCAAAAATTAAATATAATTGTAAAGGAAGAAAGGCCAACTGACTGGGTTTCTAATATTGTTATAGTCGAGAAAAGTGATAAAAATATTCGCATCTGTTTGGATCCGTTTCACTTAAATAAAGCCGTACGCCGTTGTCACTTTCCGTTGCCTACATTAGAAGAGATTACGTGTAGTTTGTCTGGTGCCCGTTATTTCTCTAAGTTAGATGCAAAAAACGGATTCTGGATGTTGAAGTTAGACGAAGCTAGTTCGAAGCTCACGACGTTCGCTACACCATTCGGTAGATATCGTTTTTTACGGATGCCATTCGGCATAAATTGCGCACCAGAGATGTTTCACCACGAAATGTACAAAATATTTTCTATGCCAGGTGTCGAAGTTTACTCTGATGACGTTTTAGTATGGGGTACTACAAAGGCCGAACACGACTGCCGACTGCAGGAAGTGATGAAGCGAGCAGTAGACAATGGGGTGAAATTTAATAAAAAAAAGTGCGTATTTGGAGTTGAAGAAGTAAATTTTCTAGGTCACGTGTTTAATAGGCATGGAATACGTCTTGATAAAAAAAGGGTTGATGCAGTCACTAATATACCTAAACCTAAAGAACGAAAGGAGCTTGAGAGGTTTTTAGGTATTACTAATTACGTGTCTAGGTTTATTCCAAATTATGCTAACATTTCGGCGCCATTAAGAGAACTTTTAAAAAAAAATATAGAATTTGAGTGGTACAGTGTTCATGACGAGGCATTTAGCAAGTTAAAGACTTTAATAAGTGAGTCTCCAGTTCTGAGGTACTATAGTCCACATGAGCCCGTAACGCTGTCGGTGGACGCGAGCGGCGCGGGGCTGGGTGCCGTGTTGCTGCAGGCGGGCCGGCCCGTCGCGTACGCCGCGCGCACGCTCACGCCTACTGAGAAGCGCTGGGCACAAATCGAAAAAGAATTGCTTGCGATACTATTTGGATGCGTGCGATTTCACCAATATGTTTATGGTCACGACAAAGTTACGGTGGAGAGCGACCACAAACCATTAGAGGCAATATTTAAAAAGTCGTTAAACGAGACGCCGCCTAGGTTGCAGCGAATGTTGCTTAAACTACAGTCATATTGTTTAAATATTGTTTATGTGCCGGGCAAGTTGATGTACATTGCGGATGCGCTGTCGCGAGCGGCTATCGAAGGCGTGCAGGACGTGGACACGGACGTTGGTGATGATGTCCTTGTTCATGTAAACGCTATGTATAACGGGGTGAACGCTACGCCAGAAAAATTAAATCAGATTAAAATTGAAACTAGTAGGGATAATATATTATCGTGTGTTGTTGATTATTATCAGAATGGATGGCCTCGAGATAAAACAAATGTTAAAGTAGAAGCGCGGGCGTTTTGGTCAATGAAGGACGAGCTACACGTCGTTAAAGGTATTTTGTTTCGCAAGGACAAAATAGTTATCCCTATATCACTCCGCAAAGAGATGCTGGATCGCGCTCATGAGGGCCATTTAGGCGTAGAGAAGAGTAAAAGGCGCGCGCGCGATGTAATGTGGTGGCCGGGCATGGGCGCCGACATCGAGCAGAGGGTGTCGCGCTGCGAGACGTGCGCTCGTCACCGCGCTGCCCAGCCGCGCGAGCCTCTGACGCCGCACGCCGTGCCTGCGTTGCCGTGGCAGGTGCTAGCTGCCGATATCTTTGAGCTTAGGCGCGTTCACTACCTCCTAGTTGTGGACTATTACTCGAAATTTGTTGAAATAGCTACGCTACCAAACTTACATAGTGCCACGGTTATAGTCAGATTGAAAAATATGTATAGTAGATTCGGAATACCGGAAAAACTTGTAACTGATAATGGCACACAGTTCACATCAGCAGAATTTAAAAGCTTTGCAACAAAGTGGGGTTTCGTGCATGTAACCAGTTCTCCTTTATATCCCCGGTCCAACGGGTTGGCCGAACGAAATGTGCAAACTATGAAACGGCTATTAATTAAAGCATACGAAGATGGTACTGAATGGCAATTGGCTTTGCTTAACTTTAGAAACACTCCGATTACTGGTGAAAAATATTCACCAGCACAACTGCTCATGAGTAGGGTTTTGAACACAAGGTTACCGGTGAGTCAAAAATTGTTAGCGCCGCGCGCGGCGGAGTCGAGCCTGGTCACCAGAGCGAGAGCGGCGCGAGTTGATAAGATGAAGCAGTATTATGATAAGGGCACCAAATTACTGCAACCGTTAGTGCCCGGAGAGCAGGTTCGCGTAAGTAATGGTACAGAGTGGATAAAAGCTAGTGTCGTGGGTGTGTTAGGTGACCGGACTTACGAGTTGAAAGTGAACAATGGCAGTACAGTAAGGCGTAATCGTTCCCATATTTTAAAATTGCCGAATAATTTAGAACCAAGCATTAGTAGGGATTCTAACAGATTCGAACCACTGCAGATGGAGCAGCAACCTACATGTGTTAGTGAGTCGGTGCCTACATGTTCGTCACCGGAGCGCACGTGCTCGCCGCCCGTGACAGGGCCAGCGGCGGCGGTCGCTCCGGCGCGCATACATGCACCCGCGCCGTATGTAACTAGAAGTGGACGCGTCGTACGACGTCCCAATAAATTTGAGTAATCATTTTGTAGTTTTAAATTCAGTATTAAAACAAAATAGTTGTTATTATTATATAAGTATTTTGTAACTATATTTTTTTTTTAAAGTTTATTTTTGTAACCAAGTGTTTGGTTTCTTTATAGAAAGATGTCTCTCTTTAAATAGTACTTTATACATAGTATAGTTTACATAGTAAATATATGTATATTTCAATATTATTCAGTCATTTGTTAGATGTACGTAGCTTAGGTAATAATTGTCATGGTGAAGGGAAAAGGTAATTGAGAAAAATTAATGTTAATTCCATTTGTTATTTTTGGAAATTGTCTCGCATACTTAATTTAACTATTTATAATATAAAAAGGGAGATGTCGTAATAGTAATGTAGGTACTAGTTTAATTATAACTAGGTGGGTAGTATAAAAATAAATCAGTTACTTTTGACAAGCTGAACAGTGTGTTTCATTGTAATCGTTCCCTAAATACTACACAAATGAGATCGGTTCTTCCGCCGATCCAAATACCGGCCCATATCATTATTGTTCCCCCACCATATGGATGAACTTCCTGACAATATCTCAAACGTTCATGACGTCCAGATGTTCTCCAAACTCGAGTACGTCTTGTATCCGGTCTCATACCGAAGCGGGATTCATCCGAAAACCACACATAGCGCCAGTCTTCTTCCTCCCAGTTTCTGTGTTCGCGAGCCCATCGTAAACGGGTCCTGCGATTGCAGGGTGCAATAGGTGTAACTCTGAGCGGCCTTCGGGATCGCAGACCCACTTCACGTAAACGATTTCGGATTGTTTGATAGCTTATTAGCAAGCCTGAGGAGCTGTGGAGCCTCGTAACCAACATCATGGCGGTCATGGTACGATTCCGTCGAGCAGTATTTTGGATATACCGGTCCTGTCTGCGTCTGTCCTCCATGTCGCTCGGCCTCGCTGCCCGTCATGCGATAGCGCGTCCAGAGGCGACTTATGACGCTCTGTGTAGTGTTAAGAGTGAAAGCCACAGCACGTTGCCTGGAACCAGCTTCCAACATTCCGACGGCTCGCATCATTACTTCTCGGGTTAAATGATGTCGTCTCTCCATAATAATGTACATTGTTTCGGTTCCGATGCAGATATTGTAATGATTTTGTCAAAACGCTATAACTCATTTTTATACAAAACCACATTGACAATCGATTTTCTTCTTATTATCGAATTTTAGACAATATTCCTTATTTAAATGTTAAAACTCACTAAAAAGTATCAATAGCGATACAAAAAAGTTAATATAATTAACCCTAATTGCAGCAATACTCTTAAACGTACTTGATCCCTAGACACTTTTGATGTGTGTATTTATATTCTGTGATGTTTTAGTTTCTATTTAGATTTACTTCTATAAATCGAAACTTAAAGCTGCGTCAAAACAAAATATTGGTTAATTAAGCAGGTGGCTTAATTAACCAACATTTTGTTTTGACACCTAATTGAAAAAAACAAACCTTACCTATTTCGGGTTCGATATGTCATTTATATGGGGTTTTGTCAGCACGTTTTATGAGCGTAGAGATATGCTATATATGAAACGAAGGTATCATAGTATAGCATTTGCATCGATACTGTATCACATTAGCATCGATACTGCATCGCATTTGTATCGTATAACTGCAGCTGCGACTGCTTAGCGATTGTACCGTGCTTAAGTCGCTTATGTCTCACGTAAAGTAAAAATTAGCGACTGTATTGCTACTGTCTAAAGTCGCCATGTGTAACCACTCTAGTATGGACGCGGCGCTAAAGCGCATGCCACATCGCGAGAGAAGCGAAGCTAAGTTAAGCCGACTTTAGCTCTATGCTTTACATTAGCTCACGTAGCTGCATACAAAGTTAAGCTAACAAAACACGTGGTCGTAGTGGCGTGCTGCGACTTTAGTCTTTCCAAAGCATTATCTATTATCGTAATATTGAGCACCTTTAATGACGACACTATGGACACGTGCGGAGCAACAGGGCGACAGGTTTATTTAGCTTAGCGTGATCGTTGGGTAGTTAGTCCACGTAGTTCAGTTAGCTCGGTTAGCTTAGTTCGCGTTATGCACAATATAATAATATGAAAACATGCCACGGGTACGTAAGCTTTTTTTTCCGTGGGGAAATCCTCCTAGGATAAGTCTCAGCTGTCCCCGCGGCCTACCACCTGTAGACTTCTACCGGCTAAAATCCCACAGTGCCCTTCTCGGGTGCTTTAATGGGAGGGATCCGGGATCGACTTTGCGCACCGGAATCCCCCAATACCTGGGAGGTGCTACGTCCTCCCCCTCCTCATGACGAAGCGGGCCTCAGCGCCCCGTCATTCTCCTCGCGGCTACCAAACTTACTGGCGAATGGAGCCCCCGCTCCGATCGTCCACAGCCGCGAAGGTACGCCGCCGCCTCCCGATCTACCCTCTCGCGATCACGCTCGGCGACCTTCTTCTGAAGCATTACCGCTTCACAGAAGGAAACCACTGCCTCATGGGACTCTTGACCCGCCAACATGGCCGCTACCATACCTGGCGAAGAGATATTCGCATTGTGGTCTGCGCTTGCACATTGACATTTAGCGTCAACTTTTACTGATCTTGATTCTATTTACAGAGTTTAGAAGCGATACTTCTGGATACTAAATTCGTAAGTAAATTATCTGTTCAGGTATTAAATGAGTTTATAAGTACGTAGGTGAATTTTATTGTTTTATACAAAATCTATTATTATTTATAGCTGGAAAGACGTATGGAGCGAAACATAAAAGAACAGTGCAAAGAAAGAATTTGCAAATACAAATTTTGGGAACCACCCCCCTCATTACGTAAGATAACCCCGCACAATATCGTTTATTTCTAATACTAGTTAGTGACTTTAAATATTATATATAGTTTTATAGCAAAACGAAAAACGGATAAATTCTGGCTAGCAGTCCATAATAGTAACATATTGTTTTGTAACAAGAACGTATACTGTCAAAAGTGTTCGATTTGATATCAAAATTGTTGTTACCAAGGAGTAGTTATCGACTTTGGTAGATATTGAGTTGCAGAACTTTGATAGATACTACCTATATTGTAGGAAATCTACGTTGTACCATGGATCAATAACTCAAGAAGACTGCTAATTCCATACCAGATCGTAACTCTGAAAACGGTCAAAATTCAGTCTTTCATCTAGATGGTGCTGATCAATAGCTTAAAAGTAGTTTATATTATGTAAATGGCCATGGATATCAATTAATTCCCCTTTAATATGAAATATAAGAAGTCAGTTTTTTTCCTTGTAATATTAATCAAATATTGATCATGAGCGAAAAATAATTTCCTGAACTTTGACAATTTTTTTTTGTATTACCAAGTGACGGGATGAACAAGTCGTGTGCCTGGTGGTAAGCGACACGCCTATCCATAATAGTTGCAGTGCCACTCAGAGCTTCAAATCGCAAAGATGTACCCGTCACCCTAAGACATAAGTTGACAAGTCCCATGTGCTTATAATTTCACCAGTACTCGTACTTACTTCCAAATCGCAACGCAGTAATGCTCATATTACTGCTTGGTGGCAGTAATAGGTAAGGTGGCAGTATTTCCCTTGACGAACTCTTCCACAAGGAATTTTACGGCTAATTAAGTGTGTTCATGACTCCAGAAAAACCATAGAGTATTCCTTCCGAAGACTTAATGAACTACAATAGGAAAAGCGCTGAACGCCCAGTGTACCTACTTTGGTACATTAAAATGTACCAAATATAATTTTTTCAGGCTCCTAGCAATACTTGCTCTCAGTTTTTTATAAAAAGAACCGTATTTTTCTAGATTACCCCTACATTTATATAGAATATGTAGCGTTAAATTTAAATGCGATATATGTGCAGTGGGCGTTATGTGATCATAGGAATAATAGTGTCTGGATCTGAATCACTTCACACCATCGGTGTTTTATAGAAAGGGCGAAAGCGCCATTTCGAATAACAATTCAGGGGTGCCTGTTTTAGTTTAAATATTTACGCCCTGTTTTAAAATTCAATTTTTGTTTTATGAATTTAAAACAGGACGTAAATATTTTAAAATAGTCGTCCCCTGAATTTGTTTTCGAAATGGCGCCTTTGCCCTTTCTAGGAAACATTTTACAGACTTATTATTTACATTTTTATGTACACGGCACCTCGAAGGTTATAGTAATATTGTAGAAAAAAAATGTGAGTTACACCACTTTGGCGCTGGATGGCCTCAATTTGTGGTTTCAATTTTTCCCCAGAAATATCGTGTGCGGTGCCTTAATTACACAATACCATCAAGTATTAATTGTTTTTTTCAGGATACACTGACCCTAAGATGCGTGCATATGCGTTAGCCTTAAAAATGTTTACGAAAAAAGCTAAACCGAGGTTTAGGAAATATAAACCTCCTTATGAAAACATACAATGCAATATTGGCGGCGTTAGTTACTTCGGCGGCAAACCGAATTATGTAATAAACTGTGAGATCAAAATTATTACTTACTTCATTTATTTTAGAACCATTGGCAAACAAATTACACTGCGTTGGCTAAATTTGAAAACCTAGTAACTCCGTTTTTGGACTAATTCCCGTTTTCACTCTTTAATGGCAAAATCGGACAACCAAAGCTTAAAATATACATTGTATACTCTTTTTTTATAGTTATACAAAAAGAGTAAAATAAAATGAATGAATGAATGAATGAAATGAATGAAAAGTATAATCATAGACTCTTATTATCAGCTTAGACGCACCCACTGCTGGACATAAGCCTCCCCTTGAGCACACCAACTATTCCAGTGTTGTGCTGCCCGCATCCAGCCGTTGCCGGCCACCTTTCTCAGGTCGTCGTCCATCTTGCCACACGGCGTACTACGTTTTCAGTGACGTGGTCGCCATTCCAGAACAATCAAACCTCAAGCGATCAACCATCCTGCAGACATGCCTGGCCCACTGCCACTTAAGCTTACTGATTTGGCGAGCTATGTCGATCACTTTAGTTCTCTGATATATTACCTCGTCAGGCATTCGGTCCATCAGAGAAACACCAAGCAAAGCTCGCTCCATCGCAAGCTGAGCGACTTTGAATTTGTGGATGAGGCCTGTTGTTAATGTCCATGTCTCGGCTACGTAGGACCTAGGTAACTGGTAGAACACACTGGTTAAATACCTTAGTTTTTAGCCTTTTGGGATTGACGACCTGAAGATGTAGGTAGCTAAGCTTCCCAAATACTGCCCAGCCCAAACGAATTCTCCTGTCGGCTTCTTTCCCGAAGTTGTGCTTGCCAAGCCGGATATTTTGA